CTTATTGGTTTTATTGTATTTTGTCTGTGAAGCACTTTAGTCAACACCATTTTTAAATGTGCTATATAAATAAAATGATGACGATGATGCAAGCCTTGGTTCTTGGAAATAATTGAGTTTGAGAGGAAAAAACCAACAACAACAACCTGTTGAGCAGAAAATCTTGTTGAACCCTGTGCATGAGCACAAACAACATTCCATAAAATTAAATTTATTCTTGAACAAATCTTGAGTTAATCCTAATGTAACACCTCAAACCTTATTATAAAGAATAGCTGTCCTTGCATCATCCGAAAACTGTAACTGAAGGCTACAAACTGAATGGAGCCACCGTTTGCATGAGAGAGAATACACTTTGAGTCCAGTTTTAAAACCATCAGTTCATCAGAGTCGATGGCAGCCAGGAGTCAGTGCCCTCCCTCCACCCTGCAGGGGCCCGGCTCCACGTGGAGCCCGCCCGTCCATCTGTGATCCAGTGTGAGCCAATCCATCTGCTCACCCATTTATAAGGCAATAAGTCTGTTTCCAGGTGTGAGGCTGTGTTTCTGCCTCCTCCTCCATAAGCCTTTGTATTTCTGGACAGTTCAGCAAAGCTACAGCTCCAGAAAATAATGCAGGCACAGAAGCACAATGGTTTAAAGCTGATTTTTGCAGTTTCTTTATTTCTTTTCATGCTCAGTCAGATTTTTGTATCCTGGTTGACACTCCACAGAAACCCTCTGAATATACTGTTTATTAAACTCAGCAGTTTTACTAAAAAAGTTGGATAAATTAGCACCTTTTTAAAACCAGTGTTAGTTTTAGGTCCTCTGACACTTTTAAAACAAGCAAGAAAGTGGATAGTTCCAAGTTTTTATGCTTTTAATGAAAACAAAACAATTTTTTTCTAAAAATGCAACATCACAGAATAGTTCTGACTCTGCTTTGTGTTCAAACATCACTAATGTACTGTTTATCCACATATTTAACTATAAACTACCATTTAGAGGCTGTCTTCATAGAACGTTATTTCACAAAATCACATTCAGAGAAAATGAAACAGCATCTCTACGAACACTGTTACCACTGGAGTGATGAGGGTTGATCTTAAAGGAGACATCAACTTTACAAAAACAACTTCTCTGCACTCCTAGAGACTTCAAGTCAACAAAATGTATTTAACAGCTAAAAAAATGGATTTTGCACGTCCCCTTTAAATCCTTTGGTTAGGGTCTATATAAAGTGGAACTGCAACACTTTGGTTTGAATTCCTCCTTATTGTAACTCCACAAGCCCCTCTTTCACCACTTTTCTGAGATGTGTCCCAGATTTTGACTTAATTTTATTTTTCACCGTTGTTTAACCAGGCACATCCCTTTGAGATAGTAGATCTCATTTTCAAGGGAGGCCTGGGCCTGAGGGCAGCCTATTGTACATGTTTATGTGCTGTGGGGGAAACCGGAGTACCTAGAGAAAACCACCCGCTTCGGATGTTATCATCCATTAAATGGACGTTAATAGCTGTTATCAGTCCCATAGAATGGTTTCAGTCTAGCTTCAGACTGTCCCGACTGTGCCGCCTAGTGGGTTCTCCGTACCATAGAATGGCTTCAGACTGTTAAATGGTTAGTATGAGGCATAAAACCACTAAGGTTTTTTTTATGCAATCTGGTTAATATGAGGCATAAAGCCACTAAGATTTTTATAATGTAATCTGGTTAATATGAGGCATAAAACCACTAAGGTTTTTATGTAATCTGGTTAATGAGGGATAAAGCCACTAATGTTTTTTTAATGTAATCTGGTTAATGAGGGATAAAGCCACTAATGTTTTTTTATGTAATCTGGTTAATAAGAAGCATAAAGCCACTAAGGTTTTATATGCAACCTGGTTAATATGAGGCATAAAGCCACTAAGGTTAATTTTAGAGAAAATGACATGGGCTACGATAAAGTAGACCGGACTCCGGTGGTAGCAGATTGTTGCATTCCAACGTACATGGCACTGGTAACCCACTAGGGGGCACTGTCGGGACAGTCTGAAGCCATTCTATGGGACTGATAACTGCTAATAACTTCCATTTAATGGACTGATAACATCCGAACCGGCTGAGAAAACCCACACAAGCACGAAGAGAGCATGCAAACTCTGCACATTATGACCCCAGGTCCAAACCAGGGATCAAATCCAGGACCTTCTTGCTGTGTGGCATCAGTGCTAACCACTGAGCCATCCTGCTGATAAAATGCCAAAATAAACTCGTTTTGAGGCTGTCTCTTTAAATACAAACGAGGTGCTTCACACCCTGGCCCTCCTTCCGCCTCCAGACCGGTCCATTGTAGCTTGATAGAAGGGTTTAYGATTTTATAGCAGGGCAGAAATGTTTTATTTATTTATTTTTAAAAAAAATTAACTAGAAGATGTCAACAAAGGAAGACTTGTCCATTCAGACTTACATGTTGGAGCCAGAGTCTGACCCAGAGCCAGAGGAGAATAAAGATCACCAAACTGTAGCTGGTAAGTCCTGGCAGTTGTGTCGCAAATAATTTGACGTAATACTTCAGAATATGTTACCGGTACATAAAACAGARAAAACTGAACGTGTTTAAAAATAYGACCCAAACAGAATGTAAAGATACTGTATCTATGCAGACCTGGAGAAACTAAATTCAAACTGTATGCACTCTGAGACTTTAAGTACACAACAAAATGTGTTCAACGGCTAAAAATTGGATGTGCCAGGTCATTGAGGATTTTAACTAATCTGTGTTTTAAAGCATTCCGTTAGTGATTTAGTTGTCACACATCAATACAGCAAACTGCTGAAAAAGACTGATCAACACATTTCAATGACCCAATAAAAGTCCAGCCTCAGCTTAACAGAAGTGCTGTGGTGASACACAATCCTCACTGAAGCAACATTGTAAAAAAAGAATGACCAAACAGTGACATTAACGTACAGAAGAGATTCAAGGTTTTGCTGCAAAACATGTTTATAGAATCTTTTCATCTTTCCATTAAATAAAAGTAAAGAAAATGTCCCTAAAAAATTCAAGGTGCCCCGTTTTCTGCATCGAAGGATAATGATGATGAAACCAATCTGCAGCCACCTGAGGTTCATGTCAGACAATGTTTCATCTCCCCAGGGACATAAAAATGTTCCAAACGAAGAACAAATCTTTCCCAAAGAAATAAAAGTGACAAGAATCWGGTGCAAACAGCTGCTTAAACAAAGGCGATCTGTCATATGTGACAATTTGAATGCAGCYGAAAGTCCCCGCTATAAAATGACGRATRCCCACAGAAATGAAATATGGCACCATGATAGGTCGATGCTATTTGAGGCAATTAATTTCATCACGTTATAATAGATTTGACCCTGAACTCTCCCTTCAGACAAAAAGCAAATCAACGAGTGAGACGACCGAAGGAAACTTGACTCGCTCTTGGTCATTGTGTCTGAACGGACCTTTAGAATATAATCAAACAGTCCAAAACCCGTTTCCATTAAAAATGCAWCCTCGCAGTGAATTCAAACCTTTTCATCTCCCTTGCATTTTACTCTCCCTCCCAACAACCCCTCCTTCATCTCTCGTCCACATGCCATCCTTCTAATCCCCTCGTCTGAAGAGCAACAGACCCAGTGGCTCCCGGCACGAAAACAGGCAGCGGAGTAAATTAGAGAGCGGAGAGGGGACTCGAGATCAGACAGGAAATGAAAAGGAAGAGCCTCTCCAGCTGCAAACTGGGAGGAAGAGGGGGAAGAGGGACAGAAACGAGGGCAGCTGAGTGCAAAGTTTGATTAATAAGGAAAAAAATAAAACGTCACAGTTTTTAATTTAATTTTTTTTTATTTTAACAAATTAATTAAGTATTACAATTGAAGGTATAACAGAGAATACCACAAGCTGTTTTTGGCACGAGAACCCAAACCTATCATACATATCTACATAAAACAATGTTCAATTAGTCGTACGTTCCATAACCAGAATAAAAACAAACTCATACAAAGACATCAGTAGATGTGGCCTTTTAGATAATAAATCAAATATTCCCCGGCTTTAACTGTCAATACCCCCAAAACTTTCTTTTTCTGTATTAGTCTTAGCCTGAAGTGAGCGACACCTTTTTACCTGACTTTGGGTTGATCTCATCAAAGTCAGCCTGCCTGCTCAAGTCTTATCTGAGCCACTGGCAGTCAGCACAGCGTGAATACTCACTCTATACTCTGTAACCTGAGGTGAGCTCCAACATGTGAGCAGCACAGAAAACTCAAGTCCTGAGTCCAGCGACCTTCCTTTCTTTATGTTCAAATGTTCAGCAGCACACGATGATGGCTGTAATGCAACCCTCAAGAGAAGAAAAATAAGCTTGAAATAAATCCATAGCTAATTCTGATTTTTAACTCCAGGGGAACACATTTAATGGATTTTTTTCAGCTCTGTAGTAAAACATTTAAATACCTGCAGTTATTTCATTATCATGTGAAAAAGTCCTTACAAAGACCAGAATTGACAATAAATGGTTTATTGCTTCTTTAGTAGCTAATCTTAAAAACAACTATGGCTTTTCCATTTGTTCTTCACCAGGACTTGTAGTGGTTGCATTCACTCCTTCGTGTTTTGGCACGGTGTATTGTTCAGGGCACGACGGTGTAAGGCTGGTAGGGCAGCAGTTTCTGTCGTTCATTGATCGCATAAATCCACGCTGGTTTCACAAAGTTCAGATTGCCGTTTTCCATCAGTGCCTGAGATCCAAGTGAGAGCCGGACATGAAAATGTGTCAATTTCCTTCAATTACACACACACACTTACACACACTCACACACACACACACACACACACACACACACAAAGCAGTGAGGTACTAAGAAGTGTAACTCTGAGGCCAGTCATTACCAGTACTGAATTTTCACTGGTAACAGAAAAAAACTTCAATTTTAACATTTTTAATATCCTTGAAAAATTAAAGTAAGCAGGACCTGAAATTCACTGTAAGTACTGTGCATTTTATTATCAATCCCAGCAAATCTAGTAGTTGTAATGTAGGAAATTCCCACTTTGAAAATTTAAACGGTGGGTGTGTTTTTTGTGCAAAGGAGGAAATAAACAAGCTTCAAAGGCTTGATTGGCACTAGGGCTGAAACGATTCCTCGAATAATTTGAGTAATTCGATTACAAAAAAATCCTCGGCAAATTTATCTGCCTTGAAGCTTTGTAAAAAATACACTGCTCAAAAAATAAAGGGAACACTTAAACAGCGCACGCTAAGTCCAAGTAAATCAAACTTTTGTGAAACACATTCAACTCTGTACAGAACAAAGTACTCAATGCGAATATTTCATTGATTAAGATCAGGAGTTAGCGTGCGTTGTTTAAGTGTTCCCTTTATTTTTTTGAGCAGTGTATATMATATATAATCAGCGCACTTTCGTCTGGCCGGAATGTTATTTGTGTTACACAATGCTACGACGTTAGCGGTTCCGCTAACGATTACACTGTTGGCGCGTCATGCGTGTATGCTTGCTAAGAGCTACATTTAGCTTTAGAAGAAGATGAAGAGTGCAGAAACGAAGCGCTCAGAAAACAACAAATTATAAAAAGCATGGGAACATTTAAAACTAAACAGTAAAGACAACAACGCGCAGTACGCATCACACCCTCGGTGTTTCTGCACCGGAACAAAAACAGCTGATGCATGTACCAAACGCGTCCGGAGTTAACAGGTATTTGTTTACGTTCCCTTTGCAAAATACGGTTACCTTAATATGTGATAATCTGTCATGTTACAGATGTACAAGGAGGTATATTAATGTTATTTGTGCTAACTGACCTGGCAGGGTTTTATTAGACACTGTGTAAGTTGTGTGATTAAAAACAAAACTTACTGTAAGTTTGTCAGATAAAAATAAAAGCACAACAACAGATTGACAGAGTGAGCCAAAACATATTATTTGTTGATATACTTTTATCTTAATTTAAATGAGATACTTGGAGTGAATATTTCAAGTTTAAAAGTATATAGAAGATAGTTGGATTTTTAAAAATATTTGCTGCTGATCTTTATGATTTTAGCCTTCATTACTGCTGCCATATTTGTTTATAGCTAAGCAGTCAAGACTAAATCTTGTTGCCTAAATGGGAGCTCTGCATCAACCTAATAACAGTCTTAATAAAAATATGAATTTACTGTTACAGTTAACAAGTGAACTCTACAAGACTCAATTTCAGCACCCAAATGTTTATATTACCCATTTTACTTATTAAATTTCTAACAAAAAAGACATTCAGTTTTCCAATCCATTACAATAAATTTACAGCATTTAGATTTTTCTGTGATGGTTAAAAATGATTCAATGGCAGAGTGCTTTTAATTAATACCTCCTCAAACCTCACATTCATAAATACAAGTAACTGGAGCTTAAAACGCATGAATTAATACAACTGGTATAATTTTACTTTGATTGCAGCAGGGTCATCAGCAAGTGYAGATTACCCTTATTAATTCGATAGGTCTTAGGTTGATTATCACAAGACAAAACCTGTAGTCGTGTTCATGAGTAATAATTCCAGAGGTGCCAACCTGGAGTCATCCCAAATCATAATGATTGCCTCGGAGCATTTGCGTTGTGCGGCGTGCGTTCGTTTCTGGCAGTTTGTGCGCATAATAAAAAAATATATGGAATTTATAGCTTTAAACTTCAAAGTTTTCATGCAAACCTACTTATTTCTAGATGGAGAGATTATAAGTAACAAGTGACAAAACAGAGTTTATAAAATGGGTGCTTTATGAACATAACTTTGCTAAACAGTACATACAACTATCCTATTATTGGGTCTCCTTTATTCATTCACCCTTCTATAATCAGACTCAGCAGCTGAAGATGAATTTGTAGTCACAGGGAATTCTTGTCACAATATTTCAACTGAATAAGGAGGAAAYTATATTTGTCTTTTAAAAATAATAACAGATGAATAGTCTTTTCCATTATTGAGTCCAGCTCCTCTCGGCTCAGTTCGGGCTGGTTCGGAGCRGTAACGTCTTTTAAAAGTAGCTGCTGTATATATCGTCTGACTTTTATTTTGTTAAATAAAGATACTATTGGCATTGCTGTTTGTTTTTCATTGAGTTAAATCCATAAAAAAATCAACATATATACTCACACTCCTAGGCATAAAGTGTGCAGTAAGTGTAATTTCATTTATTAGAAAATCATTTTAGTTTTGTTTTACTGCATTTATAAGCAACGGTTTGCTGTAGCAGGGTACTTATAGTCTGTAAATAATAATCATACCCTGCTACAGCAAACCGTTGCTTATAAATGCAGTAAAACAAAACCAAAATGATTTTCTAATAAATGAAATTACACTTACTGCACACTTTATGCCTGGGAGTGTGAGTAAATATGTTGATTTTTTTCTTTATGGATCTAACTCAATGAAAAACAAACAGCAATGCCAATAGTATATTNGTGTCGAGGCAGCCAGAGGCTGGGCAGCGACAGGAGAGCCGCGCCCGGAGCTGCTCCGGTTACGTTCGGACTTTCAAGTACTTTTTTAGGTGGTTGTGTGGTTTTTAAAATGTAGTTATATATAGTCTGACTTTTATTTTGTTAAATAAAGATACTATTGGCATTGCTGTTTGTTCTTCATTGAGTTAAATCCATAAAGAAAAAAATCAACATATATACTCACACTCCCAGGCATAAAGTGTGCAGTAAGTGTAATTTCATTTATTAGAAAAAACATTTTGGTTTTGTTTTACTGCATTTATAAGCAACGGTTTGCTGTAGCAGGGTRT